ATTTTTTGTCACAAGTTGTTCTCTACAGAGGAACGGTATAACCGAGCTGTATGCTCCGCGCGAGCAGGCTTTTGGAGTTCTCAAACGACAGTTCCATATTTTGCATGGGGAGTGCAGGTGACATTGGCTGCTTAGTCGCTCCTTATAGCTGACCAATCTGTTCTGTAATCTGTTCTGTTGAAGGTACTCCCCAAGTAAAGCAGCTGAAATAGTGGTAGCCTGCTGTGTACTCCGAAATATAGCGATAGGTGCCAACGAACCTAGCGACGACGACGAGAACGACTATGACGAGTACACAGGGGAACTTCGGCAGGATGGCGAGGTTCCGTCTGAGCCATCAACCGAGGCTCCCGATAGCCGTGCAATTTCTTTTATGCGAGACTTTAGCGTTACTTTTGAGGTTATTTAGATTAGTTCATCGATTTATGCATTGTAATAAGAATATCATGAAAAATAATGGTCGTTTTTATTCAGGTCTCCACTACCCACTGTGCTCCCCGTGCAATAAACCGAGTTATTTGAAGGAGCTGTACGTTATTGCTGTTATTGGCAAACAAGCCAAGTGATATGGAAAATGATCCCTGTCTCCTCATACTATGAATCATTACTCAGGCATCTGTTGGATTTTGCTGTTCAAATTGAACATTGAACTTTACATTCACTTTTATTGCCATGTTGTTTTATAAAGCCACAATAAAGATGCATAAATGGTATCAGAACTTGAGTTCAGCATGAGCACTTCAATAAGAGACAGTATCCTAATTTGCTGTACACGAAAACAGAAACACTAACGAATCTTCAACAAAATCAGTGGTACAATGTAGAACCGAAATGGACTAAGACATTACAAATATCATATTGCTAAGCATACTGGTTCTTTTTGATCTTCAATCTGTCTGCAAGTCTGCCAGTAAAAGTTTCTTCTGCAGAAGTTCTTTCTTTAATGCCAAGTTATCGACCTCCATGGTCAATATTTCCTCTATTGAATGCGCTCGCCTTTGCTGTGGTTGCGCTGACGTCGACGGCTGCGTCGCCATTTCTACCGTACATGTGCTCTATAAAATATTGGATGACTGCATTCAGTTTGAATTAAAATGGAAATATTACCTCCACAGTTGTTTTGCCCGACCTCTAGCCCTCCCTGGACGCCCGAGATTCTGGGTCTTTCTTGTATCGCTTCAAATACCCGCTTTTGGCCTGCAGTTAGTCGCGGCAGAGTCGCCATTTTGCCACCGCCAGTTTTTCCCATTTCGCTGGCCTCAAATAAGAGAATCAGGGGTCAAGTAAGAGCTGGCATGAATTGCGTCTTACCAATGCGGTTCCATATCTTTTTAGGATTTTAATCTCATCGCGAATTTTTTGTTCAATCTGTTTTTCAGTCCGTTGATCAGACTCCCATGGCATTGATGTCTTCAGTGAGGCGACTGATGAATCTTCTCTTAGCCTAAAATTCATGAACCACTCGCTTTTATGCGGCATTGAGCATACGTCACCTACAGGAACTCCGATCCTCGATCATCCGACTCTGGCATGGTGAAAAATTTCGTAATTCTCCACATAGCGTTCTAATATCAAGTCACTTTCCCTCTCCGAAAACGGGTAGATAGCAGCACCCTAAATAAAAAGGTTTGATACGGGAAGTACCGAGGGCATAACACAGCCTTTAATACTAACACGAGAGGATTCACCACTCCCATGCTCTGTTCCTTCCGTAGTTACACTTTCTGCGCTCTCCGGCGACTCCACTGGTTCATAGGGGTCATAGAAGTAATCCATTTCCTGCAAACATCCTCGCAAATATGCAATACGCAATGTATACCCTGTCACCTATAATGCCTCCAAAATTTCCTCCCTCTGAAACTAAGGCTTAGTCAGGATTAAGGAGGTATTTAAATAGTTTTTGTTTCCCCCAGGGTTCCTCACATCTTCCTATGCTTGCATATGTTGCCCCCTAACTACACCTGCTTCCTTTTTCGAGTATTTAAACGACAACAATTGAAAGTCTGTGGATAGGAGATAATAAAATAAGTTGTTCAATTAACAAAGAGACGAATTAGTTGTAAAATTACAGGCAACTCACCTTGTGAGGTGGCAGTATCAGCAAAAAATACGAGATCGAAGTAGTACAATGAAACGAACACTTCACTTCCTGAAATAAGCACGCGATTGAGAGCAATGATATCAAAACAAATTGCAACTTACCTCACGTAATCAAGTCAAAAGCAGAAAAGACGGAATACAAAGGCGGACGCACTGAAACAATCACATAAGCGAGAAGAAAGGCTTGGATTAATCAAAGGTACCCACCTTACGATATCGCAATCAAGCAACAAAAGCGATAGCAACGCAGTAATTTGTTTTCTGAAACAAAGCACTACGATAAAAGATCCGTCTCTCCCTTACTGGGTGATCCTAAGATCCAACATATTAAGAACTGAAAGTAACTTGCCTTTCAGAAGCAACAAAAGCAGTGAGCAACGTAACAATTCAGTATCTAAAGCAATCCAATAAGAGCAATAATATCAGGAAGCAAAAGCAACTTACTTTTTGAGATCGTAGCGAACAAGCACGAACAAAACTGCAACAAGCACTCATTAAGACGAATGGATACAAAAGTAGGGTTCAACTCACCTAACGGGATCGCGAAATGACCGTAAATGGAAGCAACAACAACTAGACAACGTCTATCAAGCAATTCGCATCTGAAATAATTACCTCAGCAGACAAAAGAACCGTATAAAAAATCAGGCAGCTCAATGCAGAAAGCAACAACAGCTCGATCATTTCGAAATTGGTCGATGGAGAAGTCCGATTACGGTATCCAGCCAATAACATTTGCTTTCGACACAGGATACCCAGGGTTTACGGATTACTTGAGCTTCCTTCCATGGTCCTGCCGCGAATGGCGGACGGCACAGACGATTGCAGAGAACGGCACCTGCAATCGCAAGGAGGGAGATGGGAGCCCTAAGACTAAGGAGGAAGTATTAGGTGGATGAGCCAACTACACTGAGGCAAAAGTTTGAATATGTGAATCACAATGGTCATCAGCCGCCGACAATGTGAGGAGCGCAGACGAGAGCGTGGACTGAGGCAATTGAAAAACAGAGTTAAAGTAATCCGTCAACCTAAGCGACTCAATACGCAAAAAGGCGACGCTAAGATAACGCAGTAGAGGAGAAGTAAAAGAACTTCTAGAGATTTGTTTTGCTCAGACTACCAGGATATTTTACTCTTACATATTATGTTATCGTAAACTTAAACCTTGATTTTGGGAGCTTTTCAAGCCTAAACACAAGATTTGGCAACTTGCCAACGTTTGAGCGCCATCGCCACTCTGTATGTCTGACTCCCCTGGGACGCCCCGCGAGCATACCTTACGGCTGCTTTCGGGGACGCCATTGTCGGGGAGACCTGAATCGGGGCGCCCCAGCCCCGAACAGGAGAGCATACCTTACGGCCCCAGGCCTCTCAAGAATATGATTCAGTAGAAACGTCAGGTCACTGTGTCAGATGTTCCACTAAGCAACCTCGTAAGGCACAAGATATTTATCAAGCTTACAAATGACATGCCGAGGTTACAAGAGAGAGAAGTTGGAGAATAAAGAGAAGCTTCAATGCATCTGAAATGCTTTCGACTTTCTGCATCAAAATGCTCCCCTACTAAACCAGCGTCCGCCAAACAATGTAGCTTGTAGGCTCGTATCACGTATCACTCGACCTTAGCAAAACAGTGTTGTGGAATAGATGTCGAAACATTTCTCGTGAGTTGCGTGGCTAAACTGGTAAGCAATGGGTGCAGAACAGTCGCTGGATGGTTCGCGCAAGAGAGATGGAAATATCTCCGCAACAATGAGCGACGAAAGTGAGGACACTCTATTTAGAAGTTTTTGGTCCGCAAATAGAGAGACGTTTCAGAGTCGGAACCTAGTTCAGAAGGAGAAGCAAATCCACCAAATACGTTAGGCGATGGCAGCTCCAAGGTGAGCGTGATACCAAGGCAGACTTCAGCAGTCAATTATTAATTGCAGTCTTTTGCCTTCTTGTTGAATCAGCAAGTTACAAAGCGTTTGAGTGATCTCGAGATAAAAGACTCGGGAGAAAAAATGGTTGAGCATAACAGTACCAGCTACAAGTCTAAGGTTTGGGCCTACAATACGGCTATTATCATGGCCTAGTTGAAGGCAAACAGCTCATTATATACAAACTTGACCTATCCAGTTGGAACTAGATGTGCTTGACTTATGAACTAGTATCACGATGGCATAAGCGTATGTGGTCACAGAGTGTGGAAAGAGAGGAAAGGAAACATGAACCTTCAACGGAAATCTTAATACTGGTGAGGCTGACATCTAGAAGTTGGCCAGGGGAAATGAGCGCTTGTTGTGGTAGCCTAGCTGCGGAACGACCTGAAAGTGGGAAGGAAAGCAAGAGAATCTTTGGAACGCTGAAATTAAGGCCTTAACCTTCAAGTAAGGTCGGATGTGGTACGATGGCGAGACAGGGCGGTCAAAGAAGACAAAATACGCGAGAGAGCACGTCGTTTGAGAGAGCACGCTGATCTCTACATCAATGCACAC